AGTAAACCCAATAGTTGTGATTGGATTGCACGTTCAAAACAGCACGTATGTTTTGGTAGTGCCAAACATTAGCCTGACCTTTCAGCTTACAGCTTTGTTGTTCAGTGGAGGTTGGCATGAAAAACAATGGTTCAAGCTACGCAAAACATCAACACATGTGAGCACGCATTCGCGCATATCTAAGGTGAGAGCGAAAACAAACTGGAGAACAAAATATGACGAAATTTGTGGAGAGTGTGGGGAAAGTTATGACGATAAGGAAAAAAATGCACTTTATCTTCACTTAGGGTCCAGATTTGTGTCGTTTAATTTCTAGTGAGATGTTTAATTATTTATTGTCAAGCACACCTTGGCCCGTGGCAGTCGTGAAGTCTCGTTAGCTGGATTGGCAATCTCAATTCCAACCTGACCTAAAAGGACCGAATCACTAACTACCTGGACGAAAACGGGCATTCTAGACTGCGAATTCACTTGGTTTGGTGAATTGAATAATGTCAATTCAGAAGCCTTAGTGATCTTCGGTTTCCTCGTTTATCGTTTATTACTATCCGCCAAGAACCAAATGCCAGTGATATACATGGATTGACTTCGTTTCCAGGAGGAGAAGGCACCACGGGAACAGCCGGATGTAAAGTGACCGTTAACGACCTCACTAATCACTGATTTGTTTATTCACGGGCGATTCTTGTCGCTTCGAGAGTTATGAAACCACTCCGTTTTCAAGTTCGAAAATGCGATTGATAAGAAGGCAGGCACTAAACATTACTTACCGGCTTCTTGATAGGTTGAGGCAAAATAACTAAGTCGTTTCAAAAAAAACTTCGTTAAAGAAAACAAACTGCGAGATAAGTAGTCTTAAGCGCTTATTTTGAAGTTGAAAACAAACAACAGGCGAGTTCAAACTTAGCAATAGCACACGGTTTCCCAAATCGATGCGACATGAGCGAGGGAATTACGGAAATGGAGACATAAGGGGAACTAAACAACCTTTAGCCTCATCTATGACCATCACTGGTTACTTAGGACCAGCGGATCAAAATCACCCTCCATTAGTCAAGGCCTCAAGCAATAATCCCACATAAGATCACAACAAATACATGTAGGTTTGATCCTCCACGCATCGATCGGGAGAAATCCATAAGGTATTAGCGCTGTTGATAAATTACGTCGGCTCGGCAATCCTGGCTTTTAAGAAAGCGAACATACATGGCATCACAACCAATCGTCTAAACGCACTACTGAAATTTGGCCAAAATACCACAAGCCGATGGTTAGTACGGCAACACATAACGATGGAAAAACAAGGAGGTACTAAAGACCCCTCAAATAATAAAACACACGGTTAGATTTGAGTGACATAATTCCATTTTAATGTTTGGGAAAAAAGTGCAGTAAGCCTGTTCACAAAGTCGCGTCAAAACAAAATATCTTCAGCATGATTTATTACATTTTCGTCGCTAAATATATATAGTTTACTGATACCAGACTCAGTAGGTAGTAATAGTATTGATTAGCATATTGTGCCTTGAGGATTGGCTTTATTTACAGCTATAGAAAATAACTGAAGTATCAAAAACTCAACCACTCGAAACACGTACACGAGGCACACTGCAATAAGAAATAAAAAACAGTTTTCGCCAAACGTTTGGAAAGGCAAAAGGAATTTCAGAGAGCCTGGTTTGGTAAAATTTGGTGCGTTATAGTTCTGACAATGCCCTCAATTAAGAAAAAAATACAAAATGCTCCAGATAAGATCATCCAGATCCAGGGGTAAACGCAAGGTCAGATTGAATTTTCAAGGTCAGGCCAACTGCAGTGTAGAAAGGTCGTTATTGTTAGCTCGCAAAAGCAAATTGTTTTCCAGAAATGAGTCTGCAGGTTAAAATGCCACAACGCAACGTACATTTACATTGAAGTAATTATCAAGCCAGCGAAATAAAGATACGAAATGTCATGAGGACAAGGAATTTGCCAGTGAGCTGTTCAGAAATAAAAGATTTTTTGTTAAAATTGGGTAAGTCAGAGAAAAGCATGCTTGATAGAGCATAAACATTCATAGAACCTAACTTAAACAGTACTTGTTTAGGAATCAATCGAAAACGACATAAATAATTTAGGACCGTTCTCAGATAAGACAACACGAAGACAGCTATTGTGGTGTAAAGAGAAATACGCAAGAATATTGGCTCACAAGATTACGGAAAATAATGCTAGTTACCCCTAGTAAGTGCCTGAGATCAATTTACAATAAAAAGAAATCATTTAATGCTGTAAAGAGGCGCATTAAAGCCACCTCCGCGTAGGCACCACATTTCAGTGAATACAAAATGGACTTCGAGAGACGAAGTTAACTATTCACGCCCCGACAACGCGCTACATGCTGCACTGTGTTGACGCGATGTCAAAAAACCCACAGAGTCCTGAATGGACCAATAGACAAGCAGCCATCAACCTTCAAAACAACACTCGACCAGATGTACAGTAAATAACCATGCAGCAGCAGCAGCATCTGAACCACTTATACTTTGAAAGTTAGTTGCAGTCCCTTGCTTCCCCACATTTTTTGTGTAAATGCATTTTCAATTAATTCAGGATCTTGAAAGACTGCATCGAAGGTGATAGGACCTTAACGTACTGTGCAGTTTAGCAAGGAATAAGTTTTATTTTGCATAATCGTGTAGCCGATACGGAATTAGGTCAGATGTTAAACAGCCTGAGTAAAACAATTACTCAGTACTCTAATACACTACTGTTAATGTGTTAATGTGAGCCGATTGCTGTTGTCGTGAATTAGCAAATTTGGCCTCTATTGCAAATACTGCATTTAGTCAACACCTTTCGTCAAAATATTGTACAATATCGTAGTTCAAAATGGTAATAAAAGTTCAAGGCTCATTTGAAGGCCAACAAAACGAAAAAATTTATCGGGATTCTATTTTGTTTTGATCATAATAAACGGCAGGACTTTTTTCAAGTCCACCGGTAAGAGATAGAAGTCACAAACAATAGTTTAGACAGAATTGCTTGCCAAAGTTCAAGCTTCCAAAGCACCTGAAGAAAGAGGTCAATCAATAAATCTGACAAGAGCTCACAGAACACTAAGATCCTAGTTTTATAGTTTGTACGGTGATAATAATAATTGAATGTGCAGTTATGTTAGCATGGAGACACCGTAGTTTTAAACGATTAGAAGACAAATTTAGGACCACTATATTCAAGTTAAGTAAAGTAACGCGTGGATTATGAGTCAGTGGCTCTTCACGCAAAGCAACAAACAAAAGGTCGCTATTTTGGGGCTAATGGAGAAAGTTTGTGGTAGACTTAGCAAGCGCACAATTGGCGGTCCCCATATACGAAGACAATCCAAAATTATCTGGTATTTGAGTATGGAGGGACAACAAATACTCCTACCAGTGTATTGCGCAAAAAAACTAATTAATGCAAGCAAAGGTTTCACTTGGTGCATACAGCTTGCCGAAGAGCACTTTCAGTTCCACAAGGTAGCGTAAATCGCATGGTTCCTAAGCGGCATTTTAAATTTAGAGAGGAAATTAAGTCAAGGTGATAGATTTCCGTGGGTCGATAAAGGAATTAATGAGATGAGCTTATCGGCCAATTAATAGCTACTTCCGACATTACCGCAACAGGACAAAATATACTAAATGATAAGTGACGCAGAATCTCTTGAATCAGTGAGGTATTTGGATTCACATCAATGAATACTGCCCAACAAATAAACAGCGTTTGAATAAGCCCAGAAAAATGCAAATTCCTTTATATCGCTATTGCAGTTTATAGTAAATAATTTTGAATTGAAAAGTCCTGAAAATTGGCAGGCCAGTTTTTTGTCGTCGCACGTCTAGCCATGCATGACAACAGAGGCCGCGGTACATGTAACGAAGCTGAGCAGGAAGCCCGTAAAATAACTGTAACGAAGTGGAGGAAAGTGCAGATGAAAATCAAGCAAAACAACCATTGGAATGGCCTGAGGTTTCATGAACAGCTAATACACAACACAATCCAATTTCGTTTAAACCCAATTCCTGCAGATATGGATGAATTAACTGAAAGGGAAAGCGGGTATTTAATTACCGCAATTGCAATGAAATGCTGCAATTAGGGCTCACGCAAAACTGTGAGGGCAGTTGACAGTAAAAGACGAGATCGGTAAATTAATTAGTGAGACGATTAACTTATTGCGCAATTACACTTAAATGTGGTCTTAGGGGAAATAACCAACACTTGCTGCCATTTTTGTTAAATGAACACATGCGCCAAAGATGACTTCGAAGTCCACCGATGTACACTGAATGACCGCGAGTCGACGATGCCAACTCAACAGTGTGCGCCGATGACCAACATTAACACCGACATTAAGTTTACGCTAACTATGCGTAACAAATATGAAATGGCGATTGGGCGTACCGTGCCCCACACTGATAAGTAAAATTTAAGATTGGATATTCATAAAGACTTGACTTGTGCCTTGACCATCACCAAACTTTGTTCATGAAGGTCATCACCACTACCCTTCACAATGATACTCATAAAGCCGAGAGTATCTGAAATTGTGAGGAAATTATACTCGAGATAAAATTAGTACCACGCGCGGTATTGTATAATTTAAGTAATACAGACATTTTAACGATTCAAGAAGGAAACTAGTCAAGACCCTCCGTAGTTCATCAACATTTTCGACGTCACCATAAATCTCCAAAGTCAAGGATTCCAGGGTAGTCAGAAGTGACGCTCGTCTGAAATCTAACTTCCTATTGATAAAACATTTACATTTGTACAGGTTATTCGGCAAGAAGCTGACTAGAGGTCACACAAACGCGTTTGCTGGCGAGCGTAAAAAAGCGAAACAGGCAAAAAGCGGAATAAAATGTACAAAATCACAAGGCAACTGACTAGTCACGCTTAAGCCTTTTTTCAGCAGCATTGACTAGTTAGACGTGTTCGTGACTGGCTGGGGGCTGCGGTGATTGAAGTCGCGTTCGTTAGGAGGGAAGAGTCGAGGCAGACGACCTTGGTTTAGCTCTCTCCTGAAACAGAATAACAAGTTATTAGAACTAGAAGGTGGGTCCTAATGGTAGTCAAGCAAAACAAGCTACTCATCATTGTCTACAAGTGTCAGTGATAGTTTTCGGGCCACATCTTGCAACTGCCTTTAATTTGGCAACATAAACAATTTCGCTGAATCGACAAGTGCACTGTGTCTTTTACAAATCACCATGGATATTGAAGTAAGATCAAATAAATTGGAACGGGCAAATATAATTAATTAAAATGCTATACATTTAACTGTGCTTTAATTTAAAGGCAATTAACAAGCTAGAATTTCACTTATTAATGTGATAAGATAAAGGCAGCACATCGAAGGTAAGAAATTTTAGTCATTGAGTTTCTATACCCACATCAAACCCACAAAAGTTTGAATTTGCGAACAAAAAACATCCGCAAAAGAGGAACTATTAGGTCGGTGCGTATTTAATGTAAGAAAATGAATCAATTTTAGACAAAATCATCAAGTATGATGAAAGCCCAATTAGGGTAGAATAGTGCGTTAGAGCTCATAATAAAGTGTAAAGATATTTGAGCAAGAATCAGACGCAAAAGCCCATGGACAAGAATTAAAAAAATTGGTTGTGTGGGCTTGACGACAAAACTAATCAGGTTGTAAGTGGTAGGGGTACAGAATTTCCCAAGATGGCTCATCGTCCATTTCGTCATTGTTTACACCATTCCCCTTGACCGCTCCACCAATACGACCCTACTGACAGCCCCATCTAAGTTAGCCTGCATTGATCCGTCAGGTCAAGGTAACCCTTGTCTTCTATACGTTGACACAAATCGACAGATCTCTCGGCCTTTGGCTAAGACATGAAAAGATCTCTTCACGAAGTCTTGTCTCACATCGTCGCGGGAAGGCCGAGTCTGGCGTCAGACAAGGGATCCGAGATACCGGTTATCTGAGGGTTTCCTGGTTGCGTGACCTACGCCGGGTCATCTGATCACCTTTCAAATCGAGTTAACTAGAGCAAACGCTAACCTTAACTTGGTGTTGCCGCAATGTACGCGGATCATCTGGAGAGGGTTGGCGACCTGCCGCTCCCGATGTGGTTGCCACATTATCGCCGTCCGACGGGAGTTCAGGCTGAGAAGGTGGAACTGGTGGCTGCAAGGGGAACCGCAGTTCCTGCAAACACGAAGGGCAGGTGGGGGAGCGACTGAGCCAATCGTCAATACAAGTGCGATGGAAAGTGTGAGAACACGTCGGCATACTCCGCAGCTCCTCACCATTCACGAAGTCACACATACAAATTACGCACCTGGGGCGAAGAAACGAAGGACCATCACAGCTGATACAGTCTAGGGTACTTGCATTGACTGCTAAAGCAAGGGGCACTTACGCAATATGTCAACCTGCACAGCTTACAAAACTGGTCCTAGGCTGACGCATGGTGACAACCTGAGCTAACCACATTGGCAAAAAGTTTCAGTCCCGTGGTAGTGAAACGGAGTACGAAACGCAAAAGAATTCAAACCAACTTTCCATTAATACGAACATGAATATAGTTTATCGAAAAAGCATCCATTATACGTTAATGAAAGGCACCACAATAAAAAAGACTTCTATAGCACAAGCAATCAAACATAATTTCGTGACAGAACAAACGAAACAAGCGGAATGAGGAAAACCGCGTTCTAATGGATAATTATTAGTGTAAATCGAATGCAATGTTCGTGTCAGCTGCACAATGGGCAAATTGGTGCTTGAGTTTCCTCCATGTGTCCGCAAGTGTTGTTTTTGAAAACCCAGCCCCTAGACACAGCGGATTCCGTCTTACCATCTAACAAAACCCCGGTTGTTTAGTCTGCCTGTTTTTCAAGCACGATGGCACATGGTAACGCATTCGCCGCATCCTTGCGATGCCGCACCGCTTGCAGGCACGCAACAGTGAGCCAGGAAATCAAAAAAGACGAAAGGGAAGGTGGGGGCCAACATCGTGCATTTTAAAGAGACACAGACCGATGGATTGCGGGCGCCGTTCCCAGTCCAGGTGGGCTGGGATTCAAATGAGATGGAGACGAGATGTCTGCCGGTTTGTACCTCCAAGTATAACTGAATCACGCACTGAAAGGCGGCTTAGGAAAGCTGAATATTTATGAAGTGCACGCTAATATTGTCAACGAGGTAAGGAAAGTTATATTTTTTTGGTAAAAAAATTTCGGTTCAACTTCACACACACGTTTGAACACAGAAAGAAGTCATGAAGTTATGAAGGCAAGAGAAAAACTGAGGCGTAAACACACTACAAATAAGTTTGGCAGACTTACTATTTCATTTTTTTTTCATTCAAAGAAAAACATCACTACCTGTTTAAATTAGTAGGAAAATCAATGCGCTAGTGACACACTTCAAGAGGGGTAGAGAACCTACGCGCTAACTTGATTGCTAGTCAACTTGTGTACAAATCACCAACGAACCACTGGCAGAAATTAATAGTAATGCAGCTGCATGAAGCAAAGATGATGGGGAGAGAGGTTTTGAGCCACCTTCGATTACTTAAAGTGCCAGAAACTGCTTAAAATGGTAGCAACTTGGCACAACAGATTAAAAGTTAATTATCGGCAATACCATTTAAAAGAAGGACCTTCCACTTACGCAAAAAAGGCGAATAAGTACATCATGGATTAATTTTGCTGAGTCGGTAAGATAACCAAATGAAAATGGCTTAACCTGCAATCGAAATTGTTCGTTAAAGACCAAATACGTCTTCCCAAATAGTTCCGCAACTTAGCGTTAGACGAGTAAAATAGCCTGGAAGCCTAGGCAGATCAATTACACGATCGGGTGTACTTGCGATAACCTTCAGGAGGCCATTTAGCAACTAATCAATGCATTTTGAGCAGGTCATGAAAGAACTTAAGCAAAAAGGAGTCTTGACCATTTAAGCACGACATGTTGATTCAAAATATCAAAATATATTGCAATTTACTCAAATTTAACGTTTGTGGTCACACATTAACACGCAAAATTTGAAAAATGAAATTAGTAGTGAGTAAAACCGTTAATTTGGAAAGATACAGTTGCGGAATGCGATGATGCAGTTGAATGCATACCACATTTAATAACTCAATACTGGAGAAGTAACAGCCATTTCAAAATTTGGTGGAAATTCTCACGTCTAAGAAACCAGGGTAGACTATGAAAAACCCACGCAAGGTGATGAGCAAGGATTATTCCAAAATTACGTAAGCATAATTTAGAAACCGAGTTAGCCAGTAAACTGGTTAACGTGGAAAACAGGTGTAGACAAATAAAACCTCAATCGAATCAGCCAGTGTCGATGCATGGAGGTGACATTGCAGACAGTGATGCCATGGCACGATTTCGCGTCTGGCCAATAAATTTAGGAAAAACCCTGTCGCTGATGTTTGCTACTTGGGTCTGGCAGTCTAGTGGTGCCTACCTTTGATACGACAGCACTTGTTTCATTGTGCATGCGCTTCCTTAAGCCATGAAACAGGCCATTCAAACCAACGAAGTTTCGTCGATAAAGCCGAAAAACGTATAGAAAGCAAAACCAAAAGGCATAAAAAGAAGCACTCTTGTCACTGCATGCTTTTAAGTCGCAATTTCAAATCCGAGAGTACACTTTCAAAACACGAATATTTCATTCAAGATACATGTCATTACAGAGTTGAATTGTCCATAGACGATAAATCGACTCATGACTGAGTGCGGCTTTGGGGGTTAACACAAGGACTCCTCTTTTGCGTAACGTGATTAATTAGAGACGTTTAGGGAAAAAATTTAGAACCTACTTTTTCAATTTAAATAAATACTATTGCTTATAATTTCTTAAAGAAGGCATGCGAAAAGGCAGCCAACATTTAAAATTCAGGTACATCCAGCGCATAAATCTCACCAGCCCTTTATTTCCTCTTAAAAAATAGCGAAAACAAGAGCGTTTCGCATAAAAGTAGGGTTTAACGCAATACTAATTCTTCAACAACCAAATTAAGGGTACTTTATACAGAACTCAACGAGGCTCCATAGAAATTCGGCGTTAGATCACTTACATACCAATACATTCTCACGAGGACATTCCTTAGTTCACTAGAACTGACGTAATACAATTACCAGAGAACATTAATCGGTGTACTTACTTGCATTGCTGACAATTAAATTTTAAAGTACAATTTTCTTTTACAAACATAGCCTTTATTTGGTTAGATTTCTCAGGAGCACTGAACTCCGTAAAATCACTTAGTCTAAAACCCTGAAATTTTGAATGTTTAAACCAAAGGTTTGAAGCAACTTGGACCCAAAACTAAACACGAAATATCGATTTGATTTGCCAGCTATGAGTGTCAATGTTACAAGAATGGGTATCTGATTTGCCAAATTATGAATGACTTTAGGTGAAGGCAGGTTATGAGAGAATTATACATTGATTTTAAGCGAAATACCTTCAAACTACCCAATAATACGACCAAGCGACTGGTCAAAAACAAAACCATGGATTGTTAAAGCAGTGCTTGCGTGCCAGTCCAGTCTCCAAAAGACCAAAAATTTGTAAAATATTTGAAGTTGGTTGCACAATCAGTTGTTTCCCGCACAGTGGTGCATTTGACATTTTTCTCTCCAAATTAACGGGAAGAATGTAGCAGAATATTTATATTAATGACATTAAGGCAAGCATCCGTTTATTCCCTAGATGGCTGGGATTGAATGCGATCTCTGCTGCTGAAACATCACGCATTACAAGTTGCAGACTTACAGGCTACAACGCAATTAAAGACAATTTCCGATTTAGTTCTGAGAACATTGAAAATTTGATGGGATTTTTGCTGCCGTTAGCAGCGGTTTAAGATATTTGTGTTGGAAATCCTAGCACTCAATAAAAGCCGTTAGTGATGTAACAAATGTTATTTCTCACAAGAAATAAGTCTGGTTGCAGATGGTCCTATCAGAAAGATGACTAAACCGTGATGACGTCATGTCAATCTACCTACTTCGATGATCTTTTTGTTCCCAGTACATAAGAACTGAGGGATTTCGAATTAAAGATGAGATATGCACATATCTTGATAAAGAAAATGACATTTGTGACCAATTCACTAAGATCACAACTTTAAGCAAAATTTGTATTGTGTGAACTTACGGCATTGATTTCCAGCCTTGAATGTATGGAGCTAACTACAGTCAGACCAAAGTTTTATTGTAAAAATGTCTCAGAAATCTTTTGAAACGATTGCGTAAGAAACCGTCAATACCTAAACATCAAAGTAAAAAATATTACATATGCTTAAATAAGTGCGGTAAGAATTATGCCCTCATTCAAATTAAACATCTAAAGCATTCAATGTGTAGGTGACTGAACGCTATTTAAAGCGGTATTCACTCGAACGCACGCATTTTGAGCACGCATTTTACCTACACAGTAAGTCGGAAAATGTTTTCGCATTACAGTAAAAAAATGTCACATATGTTGAAATAAGTGTGGTAAGAATTGTGCTCTCATTCAAATTAAACACCTAAAGCATTCAATATGTTGGTGACTGCACGCTATTTAAAGCGGTATTCACTTGAACGCACGCATTCTGAGCTAAGTGTATTACTGCTCTCTTGATGGCCCGATAATTAGGCGACGGGACGATGGCGAGATAATTGCCACTCCATTACAAATGGAACATTAATTTTTTATAGTAAAGACGTACTTTTATGATCCTCAAACACACAAAATATGCCTTCACACATTCACCTTTATAGCAAGTGACGATGTGCTGCTACACCTTTCAGACGCTTCCTCAGGTTAACCTGTCCGTTGGTTTCCTAAAAATGAACTTGAGGTCTTTTAGGAGATTTCTGAACAATTGCAAAATTATGTCCTCTGACTGTTAAACCAAAGGTTTCCTTTTCAAGAATTCGAATAAACCTTCAATTGACCTCCATAAAATCGCCACCTGATGAGACAAAGTGCTTGGTCCGCGCTCTCCTTAGCAAAAATCGATGAGAATGCCTTAAAGCAATGGACATTTTAACAGCAGAACATGCCAAAAAATCCCACAATTACTGTTTCAAAGCGAAACAGTCGATTGTGTGTAAAACCAAACAACCCTAATGTCTCGAGACGGTCACGTGAGCACAGTCGGTGACTTGGCCACAGGCATCAACAAAAAACACCAACACTGTCAAATTAGAGAAGCCGAAAATCAAAAAATCTACCGGAACCACAGCCGAGAATATCACAAGTACATTAGGTTGTTGCAGTCATGACTGTGAGTGGATTAAAAATGATTTTGAACAAAAATGCTGGCTTTCGCCTCAATTGACGCAGAGTCGAAGTCCGAAAATTCTGAGTAATGGGCTGTGAGAGATTGAAATAGGGAAATTTTACATGGAACAATAAATCGACGAAACACTAATCATAGACAAGGGGCACCGCTTTTCACCTTCTGCGGTCTACATAAAGTTGTCATAGAAACAGCTAAACAGACAACAAATGGGGTTAGGTATCAAATGACGTCCAAACAAGCGTACAGTTAACAAATACAAGCAGGTGAAATACGGAGAGTGCAAAACCCACACCTCCGTATTCGCATGCCAGTTTCCAAAATTGCCAAAAAATCACCCCATTAAATATTACAGTGCAGCAATCGTTCACGGTAATCAGTACACGTTAATGCAAATTAATTTTATAGACATATTGTAAAAATCCGAATTTCTCTTTTTAAAAGCTGTGTACATACGAGCTTAACAGTTCTGAAACCAAACTACAAATTGTAAAATGGCAAGTGATTATAGTAAAGTAAAACGGTATGCTGTCAACAAAAATTTTTTGGGACAAGCTAATGGAACAGAGTAAAAATTTAATATATCGATATTGAGAAGCACAAAGCGAACGATCAATGAGATTGAAAAGTAACTTCCATTTCAGTCTGCTGCATTAATAAATACCAACACATGAGAAGCGGATAGATAAATTTGTATATCTTCGATTCACGACAATCAGCATGAGTTTGAGCCTCGCTCCAGAAAAAAAGGTGCTGTTTTCGTGTTTACTATAATAGGGACGGATGACAATCTAGAGACGATCCCGGAGTAACTTCGAAATGGAACTTGCTTATTTAATCCACCGAAACCACATGACTACATAAAGTTCGAGATGTGGCCCCACTTGACATGGATCAGGAAGAAAATGGTAAGTGATTTAAGGAACTCGTTTTGCTACAGATTTTAGGACGGATGGATATTTAGCAAGTTTAAAGCGAATATAGGTGGCACTAAGATGTAGGATGGAGCAGCAAGAAAAAACTGGCCAATACGATAAGACTTTAACCAGATTTGATGGACTAGATGCAAAACGCAAGTGACAAACAGGATCATGACAAGAGTTTTATCAATTAGAAGATATCACGAAGCAACATTATGCATAACTGATGCATCTGATAATTCTATGTTAGAGATTTTAGTTATTCTTAATCTGTTACCTTAAGAAACATGTGACTCACTCAGTTAATTTTTCGTGAACGATTTCATCAAAAATAAATACAGGAAGAGTGGCGATCAGCCCCATTCGCATTGCAATGTTTATTTGCTGCTCTTCCGTTAACTGAGAAAAGGGCATTGATATACCAGGCGCCGGATGCAAAATTGGGTCATTCTCCTAAAATAAATGAGGCCATTTTACTTCTAAATATTCAAAAAAGGATAAAATGGGTAGTTTGAAAATGGATATAAAACGTGTGATAGCTAATTACGCAAAGAGCAACCGTAGTAAAGTGTATTTTCTTACTTCTAATCTGAGCTACCGTTAAGAAACGTCACTGAAAAACCTACAAAATATGGTAGTCATGATTGACTTCGAAAATGCAAGTTAACAGCTAGTGTGAACCTAAAGATTGACACCGATAGTGTGAAGTACTTAAACACAAATCAGGAAAGCATAAGTAATGTTTTAACGTATGCTAGTCCTCAAACCACATTAAAAGTACGAGAACCGAAACATGATTTCACTGAAAAGCTGCAGGACAGGATAGCTCCAGGCTAACTCCAGTGCAGACTATAAATATTTTATAGTGACCACGAGGACTCCAATAAAAAACGACAATAAAAAACAAATCGTTTGAGCTCGAAAAATATAGATTCCAGGATCACGGAGAACATCGAAACAAGAATATACAATGGGTTTGTTGCATACCAAATACCAGGCTGGTGGTGTAGTTGCAGTTGTATTGTCAGCGCGTGTGCTTTGGTGCTCCGATGAAGGAGAATTATGGCGTGAACGATGGAAGCAATTACCCATCAAAGCTGAAACCCCACCGGTAATGACCACAACCAAACAGCTGACTTGCGACCTAGAAAAAAAGGGTTTGTGACTAAAACAAGTTAAAGGTCAAAAAGCCATTTAACTGAAAATAACGAAGGACTAGTCAGTTACTCTCATCCGTCATTAAAGGCTTACTTAGAATCACCTACTTAGGTAAGGAAATAAAGTAGGCGTAATTTTTAGAGCAAGGCTATTTCAGTGAAATGATTTGGTGATATAAGTAAAATAGTGATGGTAAAAATTTTGTCTATTTATTGATAATCAAGAGAAAAACTTATGAATTGTATATAGAATTGTTTTTGATTTATCAATCAATATTATAATCATATTTGGTTTATTTGTTAACCCTCCTTTTAAACTATACCAATGCACGAAATTTGGTTTCTGATTAACACGAACATCTAATTGATTAACATGAGTAAAACTACTGGACCGTGATAAATGATCATTCTTTTTATGATCCCTACTAATTTTTTCGAAATGAATTCCAGCTTTTTTTGTTTCAGACAGTCCCAATGACTTTGTGGCAGCAGAATACATAGAAATGAATTATTTAGATACAAAAAGGCAACAATTAGTGCACAATGCTATGAAAGGGCTTCCTGTGTTTCATTATGATGATAAGTGCAACGCATTTATCTGACGCTTTTCTAAGGCGTGGTACACGACAAGCCATCAGTTTTGCTGCCTGAGAGAATTTTATAAGTACACTTTTAAATAGCCTTTGAGGTTCTGCCTAATTGACCGAAACTTTTTTTCCATTGTTTTAAATGCAATAAATTTTCCTCCCCAAATGAAGCTCTACCTATCAATTTCTGACGTTTTTAAAATGAGTAATCAAGGTGAAGGTTCTTCTTAATGGCAAGATTTCAAAAACTTCCACAGTTAACGCGAAACACCTATGATTGTTTAAAGGGCTCACGCGAATTAAAGAAATTGTCTAGTTTCCTTATTTTCTGAGAATGACATTTGTATGGCCTAAGCACTATTGCTTGGCGAAAGGTTTGCTTCCACGTTGAATATGTAACGATATAAATAATTACTTAATATTTCAAAATGAAGTTTAAATTACCAAGATGTTTATTCAAATTTTTTCTTGATAGTTTAAATGAGGAATTCATATTTACAATGTGGCTATTTAGTTTTTGAGGCTGTCATTACAAGCTGGTGAGGGATGAATTGCTAGAACGGGGTGGAGGCACCTATTATAGTGGAGTAATTATCGCTTTTTTAGACTTAAACAGCAATTATCTAGTACCATGGTTGTATATCAGTTATTTACGAACGTTAACAATGTTTCGATTTGTATTGTATATTTACTGGACTCCCTCGAACTAATATGGTGACATGGACGCATTTAGGGAGATTCTGCTCTCCTAGCCATAGATGGAGTAAGCCTTATATATGGCGTGTACGAGTTTAAATGCAATTCTAAGTAGTGGCATCTCAAAGCTGACTAAGGTATTAATAAGTGATGACCAATATTAGAAACATCAATGGTTTGCATGAAAACGAATAGTAATTAAAAGTCATGAAGAATATGGTCTTGAAGTTGCTGCGTTGCCAAGCTAAGAGGTCAAATGACTTGATAGAATTCAAGCAAATGTCAAAACAACTTTCCAGTCATGAAAGATTCACTGCCTCCTTTAGATTCTGCATGTTGCACAGCCTTAAAATAAGTTGTAATTTAGAAGACCATAGTGAATCTGTGTTCATCGTCGGGTTAGTAATAAGCGCAGCCTTATTGAGTAGACCTAACTTCTAGTAATGGATATACTAAAACTAGCTGAAGTTGTTATAGTCACGTAGATCTCTATATGTCAAAAATATTAAGTCTAGTTAGCCTCAATCAGGTTGCTTTGCTTTAACCACATGCAACATTACATTGGTAAGTTCTATTACTCTACATTTTACAATCAAAAATTCCGAAATTAAGGAAAAACGCCGCTTTTGAATCAACGATAAAAAAAATTTTTTGTGTTTACTAGGATAAGAAATCTGTCATTTAGATAAAAGCAAGAGAACAACGCATGTCCTCAACGATAACTTAAATTAGATACTGTATGGTGTCATGATTATTCACAGAACATGACTTTGTCAACGTACTTCTTTGACCTAGGGATTCTTAAATTAGTTCGAAAAACCGTTACTAATTTTATCCGAGTTTTATGCATGCAGTCATAAAATGTACTTTACAATTACTTATATGCTAGAAGCAAGGCATTGTAGTTTGCTACAGCAAGCATCTATGTGCACCCGCGATGATCAATGTTTCAAAACGTGCATCTGTTAACTGTTATTTATAGATTAGAGCCTTATAAACGTTATGTCTCTTTACATTTATGAGTTATAGCTAACTTTGTACAAGAGGTCTGTGCATTTAGGCGACCAGTTTGTTTGCAAATACTATCATTTCTACTTTTTCATGACAAGGAATTACTAGATGATCCTCGCTCAACTTCTATTTCTCAGATTTGTCGGACACTTCTTGGAATAGATTAATACATCTGTTATGCCTAATAGAACTGCAAGAGTGATGCTAAAAAACAACGAGTTGTCTTCCAAAATTTGCTGTAATTAGTGTCTGACACATTACCCATGTTGACATCATCATGTTTGTGTTTAAATGTTAGATGGATTGACATTGAATCACCAGTGCAGCGGTGACTTTTGTAAGTACCGAAATGGTTTGTCAACTAGTCACCGTCATTAATTATTATGAAACGTTTGAAGGGATATAGTTTTCTGCAAATCATTTCTTGTTTGATCCGATGTGGAACGTCAGTGCCAGTTTTACAAGCGCTTTGTAACTGACACATTTATTGAAACTGCTTGTCTAAGTTACAACAGGCATAACTTGGAATTATAAATTACGCTACACCAAGCCATAATCATTTGATTTAATGTTGACAGCTTTATGGGGCATTTCCTGTTAGCATGATATTCATTTTGGGACTTTTCATGATTATATAATATCAGCATGCTGTTCTCATAGGTAGAACAATAAAAATGCCGCCGTTTGCATGATTTTGCTCGACTTCACACTATGCACGATAATATGAGCGCAAAATACTTCATCATTACAAACTGCATTCTAGTGAAGCAGAGGTGTTCAATCTGCAAACTTAGATGGACTTGTTTGCTTGGCACATGATTAATTGGAACAAAGTAATACACACTGGATAACAAAAATGATTGAAGCTGGCTATTGCTTCATTTTTTAGCTAACATGTTTACTTAAGAAATAGCCTTCACTTAGGTATATTGTGGTAGCAGCGAGGACGTAGGTGTAAAACATTAGCTGACGCAGAACACAAACACAGAAGTCGGAACTAATTTGCTGTATTTCGAAAATGTGTCTTAGCAGTAATGATCAATGGAAACTTTTAGTAAGCTTAAAATATGAGCAGAATTTGTGCATATATCATTGATTGGAAAAGCCACAGACACTTCGTAGTAGGGTAAACTGTTGCTGTTTGAAAGTAGTCCTGACGACTGTTGGCGGATATCAAAAGTAAGGATGAATTTTTCTATCAGAATTGGGTAGAGTTTATTGACTGTGACAAATGAACCATTCACCTGAAATCAAAACAACATCATGAATATCTTTTTCCGTTTTACGCATTCATATAAACGAGACTAATTCTTCAAGAGTACATGATGACAAATTCAGCATACTAGAGCACTCAATAAATCTATCGAATGAATTGACAAATGGATCGTATTAAGCAAGGCTGACAATATAATGAAATCATGATCTCAATAATAGCGTCTAAAGCAATGTACTTACTCGAATACATGTCTTGATGCTAAATTCGACAACATTGTTGCGTAACTCAACTGAATATGACGATAAATCACCCGTTTGCGAACTCATTGATGTCTACAACATCCTTCCCTCCCAATTAGCATTATCATTTCCCTCAATATTGAAGAACTCGATATCGTTATGACATCTCCAAAGTGAGAAGCACGTCTGCATTTTTGAAATTGCCATTCGAATCAGCGTTGTTGAAGCGTTTAATGTGTCTGTAAAAGTCGTGGTATTAGCCCCTACATTGTTTACTATACAGGATGAAGCAACAAATATCATCTGCTGTAAAGAAACAGAAGCAAAATAGAAATTTTTAAACTAAAACTAAAGCAACTGCGTGAAATGTGTTGTTGAGACAAGAACCTGTATTGGCTGTCACTCCCACAATATCGCAGATGACTAAAAACGGCAGTACAAACGGAGCAAACATCATTGACGCAATTTAAGACACAAAAACCGCTCAAGATCATCTTTGGTATATAAA